TGATTTTTGCCAAATTTAAACAAATTTAAAGAATAATCTACAGACGATAATAAAAAAGACAATAAATAAACATTGTGGTAATTTGGTTTTTTTAATAATATTGCCTATTAAATAAAACTAATTAAAAAAATGAACAACTTTGGCAAAAACATTTTATTTTAACTATAAGAAGCTTTGTTTTGTATATCGATATAGTTTACCCAATACATGATAAAAAAATCTCAGTCTCTCTATATTAATCTCTGTAATAATAATAATGTATAATAATTTAACTCGTTACTATGTACAATGTACAGTACGTATGCTTTTTGTCTGTCTGTCTTTAGTTAAATATGATTAAAATGAGTTGTCTAAATAAGAAAGGAAATGTCTCTTTACTGTTAGTAATGAATGAATGAATGAATAAATCATACCTTTAAGAAAATAAAAATCCATTTTAATCGATATTTTAAAAACAAAACCGATCTATATAGTCCAGTAACGGTTGATTCACGTATGACAGAATCCCTTTAACAGATTCGTAAATTATCATACACAATTTGATATATAAATCACACAATATAATGATTACCCTCCTTGACCTTTTAGCCAATCAAAAAAAAAATTTCTTTCTGACTTCTCGAACTTCTAAACGGATGCATTTCATATAAAAAAGTGACCTGAGTCATTTTTTTTTTTTTGTTTAACCGAGGAGGGTCTATATGTATTATACTATTAGATGCTTGAAACTGTAGTCAAAGCTCCTCAACTTTAAATATTTTGTTAAATAGTCGTTCAAACGAACGCACTCGATAGTTTCATAACTAAAGACACAATGAATAGTTTAATACTACGACGAAACTGTATACTAAATTTAAATGGTATACTAATAATAATATTATTATATCTTACTTTCACGATGGTGGTCGATTCAGAGGAGACTAGGGAAGGTTCTTACCTTGGACCTGAGGGACCTGAGAGAGTTGCAGAAGATATACCACAACCACCAAAAACTAATGAAATAAATAATCCATATGCTAACATAAGTAAGTGTTCCTTGAGAAATATATGCTATTATATAATTTTTAACAAAATCGATTAATAAAGTCGATTTTTTATAAAAAAAATAAAAAAAAATAGCGAGAGGAAATGATTATCCGATGGACGGAGCCAGCTATCTAACAGGAATAACGTTAATAATAACAGGTTTAGTAAACCTGATTCGAGGCAACAAATATAAATGGTTATCAATATTCCTTGCTTCATTCCATGGAATATGTATGCATATTTGATATTGAACAAATCATTTACAAATGAGTTTACCAATTAATTTTTAACCTAACCTGTTTTTTTTTTTAGGTATAATATTAATGTTGTTTATACTCAAGTACCAAAATGTAATAAATCCTTCATCAACGGTTCGATTTGTGTATTTTATAATAAGTATCGGAGCTGGTATTGCAGCAGGTGTATTTTTCGTATTATTATGGCCAACAGGAAGGATCCTTGTTGGAACACTTGGTGGTTTTTCACTAGCGATGATCTTATTATCAACCAAAACAGATGGTTTAATATCAGATCAAATAGGACGATGGATATTTATTGGACTTTGTTCAATAATAATGTCAGTAGCAGCAGGATTTCAAAAAACTTATCCATATATTGCGATTATTTCAACAGTATCCTCTGGATGTTATTGTTTAATACTTGGAGTAGATGTTTTTGTGCGTACGGGATTATTAGCATCTTTTAAAACTTTTTGGGGGTTTACACAACCCGAAGATTATCGGTATGTGGTTGATACACACGCAATCATAATACTATTATCTATTGGAATTCTTGGTGGAATATTTGGTATAGGCATACAATTATTGGAGTTATGGATAAGACAAAAAAAAATGATCGATCAAAGGTTGAAGTAGATGATGATAGGGAAAGCCAAGATTCAATAAAATTTAGTTCATTTGGAAAAAAATTAGCAAATCCATTTAAAAAACATTAATGGACCTTTTTTTTTTGTTTTTTTTTATGCAAATAATTTAATTCATTAACTGGAACATTCATAACCATTGATTAGAAGAACAAAATTTTAACTATTTTTTCATAATTTGTACAAAAATTTTTAAAAGATTTTATTAATTCTGCATTAATGCATATACATCACAAAGCAAATTAACAAAAATGTGTTTTTTCAACTGAAAAATAACAATGATAAAAAAATTAAAGAATTTTCATTCCGTGAATTTCAAATTTTTAGTCTGGGAAGTAGTTTAAAGGTGATTGGAATTTAATTAGCCAATCAAATTTCAGAATTTGGGATAATGATTATGTATTAGTCTATTTAACGTTAAGCGTTTATTGTTAGTGTTAGTGTCTAGGGCGTTTATTATTTAGTTAAAGAAATACGTATACTCTTCACGCGAAATTAATTATTATCTTTATTCAAACCGGTAGCGCATGTTATTTCAAGACGCCCATGGGCGTTTTTCGAAACTAACGCACATGATTGTTATATAAGTGCCGCAGGTACGTAGTAAAAACCTGTAACTGTACTTAATGATTTACCATTACGGAGCGTTTGTCAAATTTAGCTATTTAGTCCCCAAATTTAAGTTTTAGGGACCAAATTTATTATTTATTTTTTTAAGACTGAACCTCTCTAAAAAAAATTCGGTTCATGAATTTGTTTATTTGCTAGATCCGATACGTATGTAATACGTAATTAAAATGAGTGTCGCAAGAAAATCAAGAAATTAGACTTCGGGCTTTCAAAATTTTTGAAAGCCCGAAGTCTGATTTCTTGATTTCTCTTGCGGCACTCATTTTAATTACGTATTACATACGTATCGGATCTAGCAAATAAACTTAAATTCACGAAATCTTGTAGTACGAACGTACAGTTTAATAATTTGCAATGACCGTCAGTAACGTTTGATGGATGACAAAATTTAAAAAGTATATCATCGTTAAATCAGAATAACATTGCAAACACGCCGTAATGTATCAGTTATCATTACAGGTCTTCACTCGTATGGCCGGGTACATAGGGTTAGTTTAGGCAGGATTAAGACCTGAATAGGTTAATATTAGAAGAGTACTAAATCTAACGCTAAATGTAAAATCGTTCTCCATTAATGCACCAAGATGGGTTTAGACACGAGCTGATTCGTGTAAACAAGAAATTTGCGATTTTGATTGGTCGTATGCATCGGGAAATCTCGTGATAGTTTCAGGTAGTTAATCTTTCAAAGAATGGCAAAGAAATTTTGTACGTAATCATACATACAATAAGTTTATTATAATAAATTACCTCTTATTCTGTAATTTTCTGAAAGTTTTAGTACGTGGTACAGTACGTACTTATATAGTATTGCTAACATATTGCTAACATATTGCTAACATATTGCTAACATATTGCTAACATATACGTAGTAACATTATCGTAATACGTATACCGGAAGTATTCTTGTAAAACATGGTCCCCTTTTTTTAACAGAGATCACGATCGTAATCAATATATATCGATATAACTATATAAAGTCATTTAAAGTACAAGTATATATATAATAATATATAGTTTAATATAAAGTAACTACGTATATACGAAAGTTGCAAATTTGTAAAGTAGATTTATATAAAGTTGTATCCACATTGAAAATTACTTTTATCAGTGTAATATAATAGTGTCATATAGATTAGCATTAGTGAGAATTATTAAATACGAGTTTCTTTTATGTCAATCATAAATAAAAGAAATAAAATTTTAGTTTTCATGCATGATTTTGTTACCAGATCCCTATTACTACTTTTTTCGCCAAACTGGCCTGCAATCAATCGTTCTTAATTAAAATTCTAAAGAATATAACTTTTCAGAACAATGAATATATGCAAATAATAATAATAATAATAATGCAAATCTCATAAAATAAAATTGATCTCAAAAAATGGACAAGATACCAATAAACTGCACAAACCCAAAATTAAAACTATAAATGAGAATTTCTTACTAATTTCAAAGTTTATTGCTATCTTTTGATGTGTCCGGCATGCCACTTTATCTAAACTGAAAGATTAAAAATCTGCAAAGATGTCTATTAAGGTTGAGATTAGAATCAAAAAAAATTATTCGCAAATATAAGTTTCATTTTTTTATAAATAACCTGATAAACTTGATACAATCTGTATTATGTACAAAAAAAAAAAAAAAAGAACTAATAATAGCCACATGTTATACTTGGTAGACACTTTGTATGTAGACGTTTGATAAAA